GCAGCTCGTGTTTGTACGAGCCTATGGGAGGCCGAATGACGTAGGTGGAGTCCACCGTTACCGGGTTCTGGTAGTGGTACCGCCCTTCCGGTGGTACATACCGCCCGTCGGGCGTCAGCACTAGCTTGATGACGGACATCTCAAGGTCTGAATTGTGACGCACGTTCGGGTGTTTCTCGTGGCGCCGCGCGTCCAGTAATATGCCGTCGGGAACGGAGATTCCGTCTTTGTTGAGTCTGTTGAGGGCCAGCCGGTCGGCCCGGAACGCGTCATCAGGAATCTTACCCCCGCTGTGTGGCAGCACCTGCTCTCTGAATATCTGACGCTTGCACTACGGAAAGAAAAAAAAGTTTCATTAATGGCGTGTTCCATCGAGGTTTCGCTACCAACATCGAACCAAACGAATATAGGGGGTTTTATTTTGCCCAATAGTTCGCGTCGTCGCCATGTTGGTACTTTGCTAAGTACCGAACTATTTCTGGCACACTCTGTAGACTTCATAGTAAATAATTATAGAGTCAGACAGTTTAATGATTCTCTAAATATGTGAGACGGTGGTTGAGTCATTAAATTGTACAGTGTCCAATTCCTGAGTCATATTTAATATACCGAAGTTTCGGTAGTTGATTCTGATTCGTTGTCGTGTTACTAGACGATACTGGTAGCGAGATTCGAATCTTGTTGAGGAAATAAAACACGTTTTGCACCCATACGAGCCGTACATGAACGAGGATGTATGGACGCTGTGCACAGCTTGAGGCAATATCTCGTGGTAGTGGTCACTCTGTGCCTCGTCAAACGAGGTCGCGGTGAGGAAGATTCTCAGACTTTCACCACGAGAATACAGGAGACGGGAGGGAAGCTGCTTTTTATGTAATTCGATCCTAACAAATGCGCATGACATGCTGAGTGCCCTGTAGTTCGGATCGCAGGTCACCTCAGATTTGACATAGTACCAGGTCCTTCTAAAATCCTATTTTTTCCCTTTCTGTTTTGGTGATTTGTTCACTTGTTTGAGATATGAAATTGTCATGGCGGCGAAGATGCCACCAGGAGGAGGAGACGAAGACCCAGAGTTAGAGAGACGAAAGGAATTCAGCATGAAGAGTGGAAGAAGGATAATGCAAAGTAAAAAGCTGTCCCACTATACGCCATGTAGGCGCTTGGGGGGAGTGGCGGTATAGCTCCTCTCTTCCTTGACCTCGGCACTAGATGGGGGTGAGTGGTCAGCGTCACGCCCCGGCCGGTTTTACCCCCGGGAAAGGACCCCGGTACCCATTGTAGAGGAGGCTGGGTGGGTCCCAGAGCCGGTCTGGACGCAGAGGCTAGAGGAAAAATCTTCTGCCCCCTCCGTCGGGGATCGAACCCCGGTCGCCCAGTCCGTAGCCAGTCACACACATTTGTGGTTTTGTGAGTCACGGTGTGTCATGCAATATGCCGCTAGGTGCAGAAGGTTTACAATTGTAGTCAGAACACCCGAGAACTCCCCTTTTCCGATCGGCTTACTCTACTTTTAAGTGCTCATGAGTAACAGCTGTACGTAGCCTTCAGTGCAAGCGAATGTTACAGATTACACATCCGGACGTTTGCGGACAAAGTGAGAGTATTACAAATTGCATCATCCTGTATGAAAATTTCTCAACAGCCCCAGTTTATTTTCAAGATACTGCCCCCCCCCCACGCCTGACCCCCACGGACTTTATTTCATGTTTTAGTAATCATGGTTTAACTCCGTATACAATGAAATGTTTCATGGTGCTTTTTGATGCCAGTCGTGCTGTGGCACACAACTGCTGGTGTGGACAGCATCCGACCGTGACCATAAGAAAAACGTTTCGTGCT